CCCCAAAACCCCAAAACCCCAAAACCCCAAAACCCCTATAATCCCTTATTTTATTGAAATATAAATCTTCAAGGATGTCCAGGAGAGCTAGACAAACAAAGTAAAATGAGTTATAAGTAACCCTACATAGCTTAAACCCTGACCTCAGTCCTTTCCAGTCACAAGGAGTCGGGATGAGTAAGTAACTTCTAGAGAATTAGTCTTAGAATCCGCACAAGCACTTTGTGCTTATGAGCAAATAGACTTATTGCTAAATTTCTTGAATAGAATGATATGTCTCCCAGAATGTATCTACTTCTGATTCCCCAATGGGTGATTTGAAAGCTGCTCACCAGAAGACCCCAATGATGGTCAAACCTAATCATTTCCAGAACAAGAAGGAGCTTCAGCTAAATTGTACCCAACTTAGTCTTACATTAAAAGGAAGGGAGAGAAGTAAGTACAGTATTAATCATTATAGAGTTTAAAGGGATCCAGAAAGGTCATGTAAAGTTTATTTTTGGCATATTTATCGCAGTAGCTTAGGTTCAATCCTCTTCCTGAAAAATCATTCGCTCGCTCTCGAATTCAGATTAAAAAATGCCTAGAAATATTAATAATTCCTGTATAGACAAATGAACGCACCCAAAAGTTCAAAGGATTAGGAAGTGTAAATCAAAATAACTTTGAATTTGCTTGTCATAGTGTAGAATCAACGCCTTTAAAAAGAAATTGATCGAATAGTTCTATTAAATCGCAGAATGATATATTTATTACCACAATGAACCCGAAAAGTAAATTAAGTCATTCGTTTGCTCTCAAAAACAAAGAGTCAGACACTGGATTCCTCAGGAGGGAAGATAATAAAGAAGGTATATTTGTGAAGAGAATAGCACTTTATGAACCTCTAGATCGGAAGTCACAGTCAGCTATCAAGTCCTCACTGAGCATGTTAAGAGAAAAAGCGAAACAATAGGCATAATGCCTCATAAAAACCCATTAATCAGCCTTAAAGATATTAGGTAATTTTTTAAATTTTGACCTATAGAGAGAAATACTGGAAATAAGACGATTATTAAGAACATAATTACAAGGAAAAAGAGATTGAATAAGGAAAAATAAGTTTGCAAAAATCCTCACTCCTACAATCCGCGGAAGCAGGGAGATATCTGAGCTTGGAAACTCCTTCAAGGTAATCAAAGTTAACTCGAATAAGCCAGGTAGGCTTTTGGCTAGGTCTCCGAAGAAATAATGGGCTAGCTAGGAATGGCTCCCAAGAAATTGATAAATTTTCGTTTGCTGCCGAAGGACTAAGACCTAAGATATATCAGAATAAAAAGTATGGCATTGATATTAGTCTTCCAATACAAAGTGATGAGAATGGTTACAAGATCATCAACCCTAGCCATGGTTTGTATGTGCCCAATCTTGATAGAAATACAGAAGAAATGAATAGCTCTAGGGACCAGCTTCGGCTCCAAAACCCTCAGTTTTATTATGAAAATAACGAATATGCATATACTGGTCTCAAGCATAAGAGGAGAACAATAGTGTTTAAAAACTTTTCAACGTAAACCTTCAGAATCGGGGTTTTGGGGTTTTGGGGTTTTGGGG